ATATTTTTTTTTTTATTTTATTTTTTTTATTTTTTTATTTTTTGAGACAGGGTTTCGCCGTGTAGCTCAGGCTGACCTTGAACTCGCAGCAATCTTCCTGCCTGCCTCAGCATCCAGAGTGCTGGGATTACAGATGTGCCTACTACACCTGGCTAGAAATTTTTTATTGTTTTCTCTTCATTGCAATTAAATTACCTACTCCCTGTTTCCTGAGTTTTCTGCTGTCCAAGGACTAAAATTTTAGCTCTGCGAATGAAATCATGTGCTGATGAAACCATGGTCTGAATGTTTGTGTCCTCTCAAAATTCATGCACTGAGACCCCCATCCCCAACATGGCAGTATTAAGAGGAAGGGAGCCTCACAATGACATCAGTGCATTCACTCATTAAACTTGCTAAGCATATGCTTCACTGCTGAGCTACACCCCAGCACCTTGGTGCCTTCATAAAAAAGAAGCCTATGGGAGACTATCTGCCCCTTCCACCGCATAAGGATACAGCAAGGAGCAACCTATGAAGCAGAGCGAGTCCCCATCAGACACCAAATCTGCAGGTGCTTTGATGCTGCCTAGATTTTCCCACCACCAGTTATGAGCAATAAACATGTTTATAAATTACCCAGTCTAAGGTATTTTGTTATTGGAGTTGGATCAGACTAAGTAAGATTCTATGTCTTCTGGATTTTTGCTATTTCTTCCATTATGGAAGACACCATAAGATGGAGAAGACACCAACAAAAATGCTAAGTTATCGATGAGAAGTTCATATTTTTAGGAAATATTCAAATATTTTATTTTAAGGGAAGGGTGTATAACTCAGTGGTACAGTATTTTCCTAACATGTATGAGACCCTGAGTTGAATCTCCTGCACTGCAAAAATTAAAAATGTTATTTTAGCCGGGTGTGGTGGCACATGCCTGTAATCCCAGCACTTGGGAGGCTGAGGCAGGAGGATCACTGTAAGTTCGAGATCAGCCTGGGCTACATAGTGAGTTCCAGGTCAGTCTCAACTACATAGTG